CTCCCTCCCTTCACTGGAGATGGAGCACAGTGCCTTGCACAAGCTAGACAAGCACTCTGAGCTATGCCCTACAGCCAAGTGACCTGCCTTTGGAAAGGCCATTCCTACACTCTAGCAAACGTTCATGTGTGAGGCAGTTAGTCCCATAGGTGCACCTGACCACTTGGGTTATTTGGGAACTTTCCTTGTCATCATCAGCTTTTTTTTTTTATGTTACCACAGTAAAAAGAAACAAAAATGTCGAAACTGAACAGTGAACACCACTCCTGTCATTGCCTCCTCAGCCCCATCTAGGACAATCCTTTTTCCTCTGGGGAAAGAAGACAGGTATTTCTGGTTTGTCTTCTCCTGGCTGGTCCATTACCATCTTTTTTTTTTTTTTTTCCTTATGGTTTGAACTCAGGGCATCCCACTTGCTAGACAGGCACTCTTTGCACTTGAGCCATTCTGCCAGCTCTCTTTTTGTGATGGCTTTTTTCAATAGGGTCTTTCAAACTATTTAGCCCAGGCTGGCCTCAAACCGTGATCCTCCTGATCTCTGCCTCCTGAGTAGCTAGGATTAAGGCATGTGCCACTGATGTCCAGTGACCATTACCATCTTACCGTCTTAATGAACACTACACTCAAAAAAAAAAAAAAAATGACCTGTAGCCAGAGACAAAGGATGGCAGCTCTCTAAACAGAACAGGAACAAGAATGAATCTATATAAAGATGAAATGCTAACTGTAAGAAAGATCCTGCTCAAATCACCCAGCATGGAGCAAATCCTTTCCCAATAGTCTGGAGGCCCTGCCCAATGCTCCTTATTCAATATGTTATACTGTGGCAAAATCCAGTACAATGAAGGCACTGGAGAAGTTCTTGCAGTTCATAACAGGCTCTGGATGGGAATGGGGATTCCCATTCCCAGTAATCTGATCTGTTGTTGCATGAGAATGGCAGGTTGTGTTATCTGTGTATAGTTGTCAAGTTCTGCCACAAGGCCTGGAGAAGCCTGGCCCACAGGAAGAGCTCCAAGAATGGTTATGGAATCAGGGAGCAAGGTCTTGGGTTACTCTTGGAAGATGGGCCCTGAAGATAGGTGCCCAGCTTGGCCACCTCACCACTCAGACCAGTCTTGACTGTCTGTTAAAATTGACTAACAATTGCCAGGTGCTGGTGGCTCATGCCTGTAATCCTAGCTACTCAGGAGGCAGAGATCAGGAGGATCAAGGTTCAAAGCCAGCCCAGGCAAATAGTTTGTGAGACCCTATCTTGAAAAAACCCATCACAAAAAAGGGCTGGTGAAGTGGCTCAAGGTGTAGACCCTGAGTTTAAACCCCAGTATCAAAAAAATAAAAAATAAGTCAATAAATAAAAAGTAATTAAAAAAAATAAAATAAAATTGACCAACAGGGCTGGTAGAGTAGCTCAAGTGGTAACGTATTTCTAGCTGGGGAGGGGGGGAGAAGAAAAGAATCCTGAAAATAATAATTACACTAATTTGATAATGAGTATCTCCCAGGTTAGCCCAGCAGGCACTATGTCAAGTGATCTAACCAATGGCTCTGTAAAGGATTACCCTTGTTCTATATAGGGAAACTAGGATTCTAAGAGGTTGAGGAGTTGCCTGAGGTCACACAGTTAATAAGCAGGACCAGTCCTGGAAGCCAAGCTGTCTAACCAGAGCCTGCACTCCTGAGCAGAGGGATGAAGGCCCAAGGGGAGAAGAGGCAAACAAGCCTCATGGCTTGGTGGCTCCAGGCATGGGACACCTGGCAGGAGGCAGTGGACATGGAGTGTTGGAAGAGGTGGGCAGAGGAGACTGTCAGGATTTGGACCTTTCTGGACACTATGCTGAGCCCTAAACACTTGGATCTCTGAGACCTGCCTGGAAGAGTCCTACAGGGAAGTAGGACTGTGGAAGCTGTAAGGCTGAAGACTGGATGGGGGGGGGGCGATCATCAAGATGCCACCATTGGGATCTACCTGAATTGGGTGGGACCGGGAGTATCTTGGTCAGATTCTGTGCTGTGACCAGATTGGTGTGGCTCTCTCAGAGCCCTGTGTGACCAGCACTGGATGGCTTGCCATGCTGAGGCCTCTCCAGGCTTCTTGGGATTCTATTTCTGAGTCAAGTAGGACCCCATGGATCGCAGGGCAGCACTATCTGACCACTCTCCAGCCTTAGTTTCCCTATCTGTAATGAGTGTAGTTTAGGTACGTACATTCCTGTGCTGAAATTCTGTGAATTCTTTTACATTAGATTCTCGAGGCTCTTACAAATATTTGGACACTGTCTGAAGGCACTGATTTGCTCCTCCTGGGAACTTGGGGATAGTAACTTTGTTGGTGGAAGTATAAACTGATATACTCTCTGTCAAGATCAGTCTGGCACTAGAATAGTTAATTTTGTATCAACTTGGCTAGACCACATTGCTTAAATAGTTGGTCCAATATGATTCTGGATGTTTCTGTGAAGGTGGTTTTTTGATTAGATTAACATTTAAATTAGTAGACTTTGAAGTACAACAGATTCCCCTCTATCTCATTTAATCAGTTAAATCCTCAATAGAGAAAGCCTGACCTCCCCTGGAGCAAGCAGGAATTCTGTCATCAGACAGCCTTGGGAATGGGACTGCACCTCTACTAGGGGGTCTCTAGTTGCCATCTACCCTGAGACCTACCAAATGGTGACAGCCACTCCTTTAAAGCAAAACAACTGCCCATATATATATATGGAGAGTGAGAGACAGACAGACATGTATCTATATCCACATACACATACATATCACGTTGATTCTGTTCTCTGGAGAACACTGATTAGTACCAGCATTCTTTATGAAAACTGCTAACGCTGGTTATGACCCATCCACACATCTCAGTATGCCACAGCCACAGAAAGGGATGGAGACTCACTCGTTAGACACGATAAGGAAAGGTCTTTAACATACACGAGAAGTGTGTGCACTGTGTAGTCACTTGTGTAGTAAAAAACAAAACAAAAATTAAGGAAGCTAGGCCTGGTGGTGGGTGCCTGATGCCTGTTATCCAAGTATTTCGGAGGCTGAGGAAAGAGGATTGCAAGGTTGAGACTAGCATGAGCTACGTAGTGAGACTGTTTCAAAAAACCTAAGGCTGGGCTGGGTGCCCTGGCTCATGCCTGTAATCCTAGCTACTTAGGAGGCAGGGATCAGGAGGATTGAGGTTCGAAGCCAGCCTGGGCAAATAGTTCTCAAGACTCTATCTCAAAAAACCCATCACAAAAAAAGGGCTGGTGCAGTGGCTCAAGGTGAAGGTCCTAAATTCAAGCCCCAGTACTGCAAAAACAAAAAACAACAAAAAAAACCCCTAAGGCTGGGTACATAGTTCAGTGGTAGAGTGCTTGCCTAGTATGTACAAGACCTGGGTTTGATCCCCAGCACTGAAGAAAAAAGAAAAAAGAAAAAAAAAGCTAAGTGCCAGAGGCTCACACCTAGCTACTTGGGAGGCAGAGATAAGGAGGATCATGGTTAGAGGACAGCCTGGGAACAAAGTTAGTGAGATATCTCAATGGAAAAAAACTGGGTGTGGTGATGTGCCCCTGTCATTCCAGAAATGGCAGGAATCTGGGATGGAGGATCACGGTCCAGGCTGGCCTGGGCAAAAAAGGAGATCCTATCTCCAAAATAATCAGATCAAAAAGGGCTGGGGGCATGGCACAGGTGATAGAAAGCTCAGCTCCCAAGCACTTAAGACCTTAGTTCAAACCCCAGTACTGCTGAAAAAGACAAAAGGAACATTCTACTGTTTCTACATGGGAGGGGGGACCAAGTAAATACTTATACTCTCATAAATGGACATACTCTGTGACCCAACTCTTTTTTCACTACTGGTGCTTGAACCAAGGGTGCCTCAAGCTTGCTAGGCAAGTGCTCTACCAGCCCTTTGTTTTTATTTTATATATTTATTTTTTGGTGGCACGGGGGTTTTGAACTCAGGGCTTCATGCTTGCTAGGCAGGCACTCTTACCACTTGAGTCCGGGTTTTTTCGAGATAGGGTCTCATGAACTATTTGTTCAGGCTGGCTTCAAACCAAGATCCTCCTGATCTCTGCCTCCTGAGTAGCTAGGATTATAGGTGTGAGCCACCGGCATCCAATGAGACAGTCTTGATAACTTTCCCCAGGCTGGCCTCCAATTCTCCATCCTCTGCTTTCACCTCAAGTAGAGCTGCTGGGAGTAGCTGGGATGACAGGCGTGAACCATCACACCAGGCTGTGACCCAGCAACTCTACATCCATCTATATAAACATTCTTCCATATGTGCAAAATGACACATATACTTTACTAGGTTACTCAGTTGTAGCACTGCTTATAAAAGAATGAGAACCTAAACACCTATGAGCAGGAAACTCATTCACTTGAAGAAACAAGTGTTTATGACAAAGAATGAGGTAGCTGTTCCCATATGCTTTCCAAGTTCAGTGGGAAAAAGCACGGTACAGGATGGTATGTACACCATGTGACCATTTGTGTGGGGAGAAAAGTCAAACGATTCACACAGAATTTGCAAATGCAAGAAATATCTCCAGAACGTGGAATAAACTAGCAGTGGCTGCCTCTGGGCAGACTAGTAACTGGAGGATGAGGGTGCAAAGATTCACTTTATAGTGAATCTTGTGGATCTTGAGTATGCACTAGCTATTCAAACTTTAATAAAATTCTGAGGAAGAGGAGGAATGTTCTCTGGATAGGTTGGGGGAATTCACTTGCAATGCTTTTAACCTCAGAATGGCTCTTAAGGAAGTCTAACTTTGGACCACAGCTGATCTCACTGAATACCCTGGTCCTTTACCAAAACAAGAAACATAATTTTTGTCCTGTTTTTATTTTGAGACAGAGTTTCACTATGTATGTAGCCCAGGCTAGCTTCTAACTGGCCATCTTCCTGCCCCAGCCTCCTGAGTGCTGGGATTGCAGATATACACCACCAGGCCTGGCTTCAGATTACTCTGATACATGTAGAAAGACAACCAAATTCAGACCTTTTCTTTAGAACCTTTTTTTATTATTAATTATCATCATTATTCATCATCCAACCAACAGAGGTAGTCAGCTGGAACCAAAACATGCTACAACAGAAAACTGCCTGCCAATCACCATCACCACCAATACATAGAGTAGAAACAGACAGGACACCTCATACATACAACCCACCCCACTCTTAGCCACAAACAAGCTCTTGCTTTTTGGGAGAGGAGGGTGATCAGTGTATTATGTTGAGTGACAGGCACTATTTGTTTATTCTGGAGCTTTGATTTTGATGGGGGAGGTGGCAATTTATCTTTCCCCTTCCATTCCCCCCACCCCCCATCCCCGCCAATCTGAGATGCAATAGCTGTCTAACTTATTCCCAGAGACAGGTGGTGGTATTCTCTGAACAAGTATACAGGGGAATTGTGCAGGGCTCAACTTAATCCTTTTGCTTTTCAGAAACCTTTTGCACCTGGGCTCCCAAGAAGGCAGCAGGGGCCCACGGGTCCTGCAGGCTTGAGGGAGGTGCCTCTCAGAGCAGTCACGAGGAAAGAGTCCAGGAGAAGATACAGGGGACAGGGACAGAGATCAGCTGAAACACTCCATGCTCGTTCTAACTCGTTCCATCTCATGCAGGAAGCTGTAGAACTGAGGCAAGGTTAATTCTGGAGAGAGAAAATTCAGCTTTAGGTAAGTGTTTCTAATTCCACAGCATTACCCAAGAAAATTCATTTCCACCCAGAGAGTTTTTTTCTTTTTTAGCAGTATTGGGGTTTGAACTCAGGGCCTCATACTTGCTAGGCAGGTGCTCTACCACTTGAGTCACTTTGCCAGCCTTTTTTTGTATTGGGTATTTCCTTGTTTGAACTCAGGGCCTTGAGTCACTCCACCAGCCCTTTTTTGTGATGTTTCCTTTCAAGATAGGGTCTGGAGAACTATTTGCTGGGGCTGGCTTTAAACCGAGATCCTCCTGATCTCTGTCTCCTGAGTAGTTAGGATTACAGGTGTGAGCCACTGGCGTCACCCCCCACCCACCACTTTTTTTTTTCTTTTGGTAGGACTGGTGTTTGAATTCAGGGCCTCTCGCTTCCAAAGCAGGCACTCTACTGCTTAAGCCACACCTCCAGTCCATTTTGCTCTGGTTATTTTGGAGATTGGGTCTCACAAACTAGTTGCCCTGGCTGGCCTTGAACCATGATCCTCTCAATCTCAGCCTCCCACATAGCTAGGATTACAGGCATGTGCCACTGGCTCTGTCTAGTAAGAAGTTCTTGATGGGTAATTGATCACAATAAAGAACCAAGAGCCTTGAACATAAAAGGCTCTCAGCTCTATAAAAAGGAGGGAGGATATTAAAATGCAAATGCCTAATTCATAGCCCTGAGGCATTTCTTGCCTTTAGTGGGCTTCCTAGCCATTCCCTTTTTCAAAAAGGATATACTACTAGGGGTTCTCCACCCTGCTTGCAGCTGCTTAGCACTAAGGATTGAACTCAGGGCCTGGAGCTCTACCACTTGAGCCATACCCCAGTCCTGGCAGCAGGACTGGAAAGGCAGGGGAATGGACTCCACAGCTTCATGATAACCTGGTCTCTGCAGGATGGCTTGTGGGCAGCTTCATCAACCTGGCCCCCAGAAGAGAACACAGAGAGATGGAAAGATTCAAATGGGAATCCTGACTCACCTATATATAAATTTTCTGTTTGGTTTCCTTTCTTAACCACCAACTTTAACTAGTTAAAAGAAAATAAAGAAAGAAAAAATACAAATTAAAAATTAAAAGATGACAACTAGACAAAAAAAATCCCCCAAACCCTCTGGCCTCCAACCATTGAGTTACCCCAGGGACCTCACACATGCTATGTACTCACTATGTACCGCTGGACTACACCCCAACCTCCAGCATCAGTTTTACCTTGAGAATTACACAAAAAGGGCCTGGATCATCCACCACCACAAATTCTAACCATTCCCTGATTCCAGGAAGAACTGAACATTTATGACTAATATTAGGATCTGTTAATCTGAAAGCCATGTCAGTGACCACATCCTTCGCTGACCACACTTGCTCTGAGATGTACAGGGCACTTTAGCAGGACATTCACTTACATGAATACTTTAAGAAACCCAATGGATATTGGACACAATTATTATTATTTTTTTTTTGGTGGTTCTGGAGCTTGCACTCAGGGCCTCTACCTTACTAGGCAGATGCTCTACCACTTGAGCCACTTCACCAGCCCTTTTTTGTGTTGGGTTTTTTTTGAGATACAGTCTTGCCCAGACTGGCTTCAAATTGTGATCCTCCTGATCTCTGCCTCCTGAGTAGCTAGGATTACAGGCATGAGACACTAGTACCTGGCCAAACATTTTTGTTTATTATTATTTTTTGTGGAACTGGAGTTTGAACTCGGGTTCGTGCTTGCAAAGAAGGTACTCTACTGCTTGAGCCACACCTCTAGTCCTGCTCTGGTTATTTTTGGAGATGGGGTTCTCTCAAACTATTTTCCCTGCCTGGCCTCAAAATTTAATCCTCCTAACCTCAGTCTCTCAAGTAGCTAGGATTACAGATGTGAGCCACTAGTGCCCAGCTTATTTATTTCTGAGATAGGGTTTTGCTGGCCTCAAACTCATGATCCTTCTGCCTTAGCCTCAAGAATGCTGGGATTATTACAAGAGTGCCCCACCATGCAAGGCTCTAACAATTTTTTTTTTTTGGCAGTACTGGTGGTTGAACTCAGAGCCTTGCACTTGCTAGGCAGCCACTCTACCACTTGAGCCACTTCAGCAGCCCTATTACAATTTTTTACTAAGTCAAAAATCTCCCCATTTTCACAGATCAGAAGAAGACTTACTTGTAAAAAAATACTTCCCACTTTCTCCAATTCACTGCTCCCAGATGTAACTGTGATGCAAAAGAAAAAATTAAATGACTGAGGACTTTCTCTGAAGATCCCAATTATTTATTTATTTATTTATTTATATTTTTTGTAGTATTGTGCTTGAACTCAGGGCTTCATGCTGTCTAGGTGGGTGCTCTACCACTTGAGCCACTCCCCCAGTCTTTTTTTGTGTTAGGTATTTTTAAGATAGAGTCCCCTGAAGTATTGCCCAGACTGGCTTCAAACCGTGATCCTCCTGATCTCTGCCTCCTGATTAGCTAGGATTACAGGCATGAGACCCCAATTTTGCAGACTGTCCATAGACAGCTATTGTTTGAGACCAAAGATGTATCCTCCCACCCAGGCTCTCCAAAGCCTCTGCAACCCCACCCAGGGTCAGTCCTGGGGACTGGCTGTAACTGTTACCTCCAAACCTCCACTCCATATCGATAAGCTGGTTGATCATCAAGGTCTGACCTATGGCCCATCTGGCAAGGGTTGGGGCATTCTGCTTCCACTGGAACAAAGGCAAAAAGCCAAAGTCATCATGAGTGACCAATCTCCCCACTTCATTCTGTCCCAAACATTGCCCACAGCAATGTTTGCGTGGGATGAATGCAGAACCGAGGGCTGAGCCCATATACACATATCCAGGGGGAACCCAACATAAATTCCTTCTCTTTGTTCCAAGATTTAATTCATGTTGGAGCAAAAACTATATGACACTGATATTCAGTCAAATCAGAGTGAAAAAAATTAGCAATACACTAAACAGTGTTGGTTAAAAGCACCATGTGTGTCATTTGTGTGAGACCAAATGAAGTAAGGAGATGATAGTTTTGCCTTGCTCAGCATTTTTTTTTTTTTTTCACAAAATAAAAGCCAAAGATCTTAACCTTGATTAAGAGGCATTATACCTTTTCAGAAAAGTAAGTGGCTTTCTCCTCACTAAGACCTGTAGGAGAACAGAAGGGTTCATTAACATAATAAAAAGCTCAGAGGCCCTCTCCCTGGGCAACCCTGAGTAATGACCTACCCAGAGTTATGAAATCCGCCCGGACCTGCTCTGCAGTGAGGCTCTTCTTCAAGGCACCTGGGTGGGTGGGTGGGGGGGCCCAGAGGCGGGGAGAGAGAAATCATAAAAGTAAAAGGGTAAATGAATGAATCAGTGGGCAATAAGTGTGCGACAGGCACAATGTACATGGCAAAGAAGACAGAGGGAATGTGTATTCTCAAGTCAGCTGGGAGAAAATATACTCTGAAACAGTAGGGCAAGACAAGGAGCTTGTTTATTGCACTACAGGAATACTCACCCTGATGAAGACAACAGAAAAGACTGCATGTGGGGCAGGTAACAGAAGCGAGGAATGAAAGCCTACAGATTTCTTGGGCAAAGAGGCCTGGGGAACTGGATGGCAGCCTGGGCACAGGGCAACAGTCTAGTGCTGCATGAAGCAATGTGTAGCCACTTGTTGCA